TAGAAGGGAATAAGAGCAAAAATGTGGAGGCAGTATTGCAGGGGCTCCGTATGTGTATTGTTGCAATTTTAAAAATTCCCATTATCGTGGAGCGTAAAAAGGAGAGAAATAAGAAGTGGCGGACAATAGTACAGTGCTATGGGCAACGGGGAGGAGTGCCGTCTCTAAGCAACGCTCGCTCGCGCGTCCCACGCCGAGCCGCCGCCGCCGCCACGCCACCGCCACCGCACCCCTGTGTCCGCGCTTTCAACTACACACGCCGTTTATTGGTACCAACAATTCTTCGAACTATTATTGTGCCGCAAAAAATACCTCTATGAAATTACATTGAAACACATTGATTTTTTTCTACCAGGAATTCCAATGTGTCATGTCCTCATTAGTGCAAGGGGTAATGAGTTCGTTAGGTTAGTGTTATTATACTGTATTAGTGAAAACTAGTTTACCTATTTCAGATCCCGTGTTTGTATAAAACTACAGCAGCCATGTTTATATTATAACCTTCTTAACTGATGTACAAATCGACCATGACATATCATGCTTAAGATTTTATAAGAATAATGTAAAAAATAATATAATATTATTATACGAAAAAGTTAGAAGCCATTTGACATAGATTGATCGTAGGTAGGTAAGGTATAATTGCGCGCGCAACGGGCGCTCTCATAAATACATCAGTGAATTCTGTCCATATGAGAGGAAATCATTTGAATTACCGAAATAACCGCCGACTGAGCTGGAGCTACCTCGGGGATGCTATTTCTGCTTTATATTGGCTGTTCATATTTCATAATACGTCATTAGATTATTCTTAGGCCTTTAACGAGCCAGTATGAGTGTTGCTTGATCCAATAAAAACGAACATACGAGCTTTAAATTTCACTTAAGAAGTGTTAAAATAGTTCCACTCTGCAATCACTTCGAAGCTTAAATTCCACACTATATTCAGCATGCATTTTTTCACAAGTAGCATCTAAGTGAAAATAGTTTCAGACACAATGTGATTCCTTCGATTAGAATAATTCCTTTCGCAAAAACTACAAAGAGTCGGTTTCTATCTCCTACCAAACTTGGATATGCGGCTCGCACACACTCTTTTCTAAACAGAAAATTCCTTGGATCGATTCAGTATACGGGCGTTCTAATAACATTCCGGCCCGATATTTCACACACCTCGATCGCGACTGTGTACATCACTTAGCCCAACACAATGGTACACGGACGATTTATTGTGTACAGTCTGTACCCAGATAAAGCACAGACAATGGCCTATCAGATGGCGGTCGATCGACACGTGTATGCTTTTAGCCCTAGACTTCGACACCCAATTACGTGGCCGCTAGCGACACCATCATTCATCACGTACAAACGAGCGATTTTTTATTACACGCTCTGCCCAGGTGAGGGTAAAACGGGAATCTTACGCGCGGATGATACTCTCCCGACTTACTTCGGGTGGAGCAATTAAGGACAAAATAACTCCGCCGGATTTTTGGTGGATTACGGCGGAAAGTTAAAACAGAGATTACCGTTAAACGATAGAAGATGTACGAACATTTAATACGTATCTGTTATATTTATCTACCTTAATGGACATCTTATAATTAATGTTATGTAAGTACTTAACGTAATTAGAAGTACACTTTTACTTTTAAGCTACCAAGTTTTTATTCCGTTGTTTCGTAAAAGTTAATTGTTTTAATCTTTGACTAAACTCAAAATGATCAGAATAACACAGTTGCATAACTGTTGAGATGTACAGAAATGTATTCAATCAGACTAAATGTATTGACACTAAAGTTCGACATTACATAGTTCAAATAGCTAATAACTTGGCTTCAAGTTTGGAACATTTCGCGACACATGCGCTTCGAAGTCTTGGTGCATTGTTTAACATATATTACTTAGAACGTCGAATTTGAGTACTTACTGAAAGAAATTCAGTAAATTGATGTCTAAACAATTCAGTTAAAATGGTTATAAAACTCACGCTGAAGGAACAATGTGGTACATTCTTGAAATAGTAAAATGGCAAAGTAATTCGTGTCTGGCTCTTAGAATAAAGCCATAAAAACAATACTTGGATGCACTTTATTGAGTGGCAACTTTTTATTTCGTAACAAAAACTAGCTGCGTTTCTTTAACCACTATGATCATATAAATAGGTTTTACTATCTATTCGACGAAACTCTGGAAGTATGGTTAGCCTATAAAGTTTTTATATCATCATTATACCATCAAACTTTATGATTAGACTCGTCCACCCAGACCAAAACGCGGTCTGGTTCGCTAAACTGTTTGAGGAACAACTAATAAACTCTTGTACAAACGTTTAACTAGTGAAAAATAAAACTAAACTAATTTAGTGTCGAAAATACGATGGGAATGTTTAGTTAGGAACATAAGTTGTTTGGGGAGGGGCGCGTGCGAGTTGTTTTCATGTAAATTTGTCTAAATGGTGGTATTTTAACGGGTATCGTAACACATAAAAATTATCATAGCAATTAATGCACTGTGTGTGACTAATTAGACCATTAATATTAACAAAAAGCTTAATAGTCGTGGTGTGCTCTTCATAGTAGGGTCACAGCTTAATCGTATAAAGAATTTCATAAAAGCTATAAAACTGGTATTGTGACATAAAAGGTGAAGTTGGAATCGTAAAAAGCCAGGGTGCGAACGGTTCACCCCCGCGGCGTGGATCCATGACGTCATTAAGCGGCACGCGCGCCTCCTCTTACAAGCCGCGTACCCGTCGGCCGCACGCCGCGCCGCACGCCTCTACACACTTTTCACACACCACTAGCTGTCGACGAAAAATATATCAAGGCTCCAACATAAAAAATGCAATAAATATTTATTTACTGTTTTGTTTGTAAGCCACATACGTGTCTTTGCTAATCTAATGATATAGGTCGCAGGTGTTCAAGGTTGAAAAAAGGCGCCCTAAAAGCTTGGAGGTTGATTTTTGCGGTCTTATGTCTGAATATCTACGTGAATGCTTATGTAATACGTGTTCGTAGTATGATATCCACTTGTTTGCAAAGGTTCTCTCGTGTGTATGAATAAACATAGTTTGCGGTAAAGCAGATTAATTTTGGTGATTGCATTCTATGTGCCTTGTGCCGTTTTATCATTTTGTAGGTAAGTTTGATTAACGAAGAAAAAGTTTCGGGTTCTTCTTATTTTATTAGATTCAATTCAAACATGGGGTCTGTACTTGTGTTAAAGTTTTCCCTGCAACACAGCCATCTATCCGCTTGTAAAGTCACAAGCGTGACAGATGATCGGGTCGATACTCTAAGAAATGAGTAAGATCATTGCCTCCTCCTAGTTACCAGTGACACTTAACTACATGTTTTATGTTTGTACGTACGTTGAAATTGATTAATTTATAGTTACTGCACCAGTCATGGGGACGAGCATGTGACGAGCCGAGCATCGAACCGAGACACCATTACAACATATCTATTAAGGTGACCTATATTATTTTATTATGGCTTTTAACTGAAATAGGATTGCGTTGCTCACTTGGACTTATTTAATGTTGGTTTATGAAACGTGTATGGGATTAAATCTGTTATAGAATGGAGACTATCTCGGTGCTCGTTGAACTAGTTGATTCATAATGAAAGCTAAATGCTCTTGAAGAATTGGATGCTTCAATTCTTAGTAGTAGCGATAAGAACACTACTTTTCTTCTTAATTGAACAGTTGCGTTATGTAAGATATAGCAAAATGTTTTAAATAATCAGCTTCAATAAATAGAGTACACGTGTCCTATAGCTTCACTTTTCCTTTCTGATATATTTATTTTCTGTATAAGTTCCATCCATCGTATTATAATTATAAAAGTATATAAAAAGTGATTCCGGGTAGCAACAGGAAGACTCTAACTATGCGAGAATTGAACTAATATTAATGAAAAAATTGTTATTACAACTTCTTATAAAAGAACAAAAATTGCGATATTTCCCCGTACATTTACATAAAATTACACTCCACCAACTTTTTAAGTTTTATTCTCAAGTTTGTTTTCTCTTGTCAGTTACGATAAAGGTCGCCTTATTTTTTAACTTAATATAAACATGGTAGACCTACGCAATGTTTTTGGTAGATAATTTCAAGCATGAACACATGCTTCTATGGGTTCTACCGTATTTTTGTTCACCAGATGGTGCTAGTGTGAGCCTCTCGTTCTTCGTCCAATAGGTAATCAGCTAGTGTCTCACCATTGGACGTTCAAAATTTGACAGCAGCTGTGATTGGTCAAAAGAACTTCTTCTTACATTTGCGCCATCTGGTGAGCTAAAATACGGTAGCGCCCATTGATCACTTGTCACCTTAGAAGCATCTGTGTCGGAAAGTTGTTCAAAATTAGCATGCTTATTTCAGGTATGTTTGCGAATCAACAGGTGTTCGATTTTTGAACATTTTTGTGCATGGTCAATAGAGCGTTTTTTAGCATACTATTTGAGCATGTGTGCACAGTAATATTTAACTTTATTGTTGAAAGGATAACTAGTGAAGGATTGGTCCAGTTCGAGTAATACTATCTTATTATAGAGGTCAATTTCCTGCTAATCAACCAGTTCGATCTAAGTAATTATTTATTTATGCAATTGACGATCTATTCTTGTGGACTGCTAAGTATAAACTGACATCACGATACGTCATTTAGGAATAGAGTACGTTAGAGAAACTGGGGTAACCAATGTGTAAAGAAGTTAAGAATCAGTTGTAGTTGGTTAGTATCGCTGTATATTAAGACAATTTGAGTTAATTTTGGCTATAAATATTGTTGTAGAAAATTAAAAAGGGAAAATGTAAAATTAAACAATTTGCAAAAGTACTCTCTATTATATGGAACTAATATTAAAACTAAAGTACGGTGGCAGTTATATTTAATTCGGTCATATCTGCATCTGATATGGAGTATAAAAGGCATGATTATGTCAGGCAAAAATAGAATTTATGAAAAACCAATACTTATTGTTCACGCATCTAACGCGTGGACCACAGCGGCGGGAGACGCGGCGGGCGGGGGACGCACACAGCTGATCGGGCGCACCGCCGCCGCGCCCCGATCGGCTCGCCGACAGATTTGGTCAGCGACAGACGTGTCGTGCTCTAAGAAATTACTCATATATTTAATCGATCTGTATTAAAGTAATTATTTATCTAAAGCGAGTCGTTCATTATTAAAATCCTGAACATTGTGGCGACCGTTGACAATAGCGACTCAAAGCTGTAATCTTCGGATATCCATCGAAGAATAACGGAAAACCGTTTGGAATTTGAAATTACGGAACAAGGAGATTAGGTTGGATTCCTGCCTTCTACCCTGGTGGAGTGAAAACTTTGCTGAGGACTGCTGGAGGACGTCTGGCGGAATACCCAAGGGAAGTTGGCCTTTTATTCTATCCACTATTCCTCATTTTCCTTTTCGATTTGCGTACGGCTTGCCGCTCCGATAGCGTTACAAGATAGTATTCTAGGTCCACTATTACTATTCTTCTTTGTAATTTACGCTTCGGCTATTGCGAAAGCTTGCCTATAAATACATACCTATCGCTTTATTATTTTCATTCCTATTAAATTGTTCAACCTATTGTTCTATAATTGTGTCTACAAAGACGGTACTCAAAGTTTAGAAATCCCATTCGATGATGGTTTTAGCTTAAAATCATATTGCCAGTTGCGCTACTTACTTCCTAGCTAAATATTTAAAATCTGGATGTGGCTGTTTGTTCAATTATTTTTCCAATAATTTTGTTTCACCTACCCTTCACAAAAATTTGTCACATACTTAAATATTAACGTGACACATTTATGTAAATTCCAGGTTACCTTTGCGTAGTGCTTGGCTTGTGGGTTTGCGAATCCATCCAGCATCCGAGTAGTAGCTACGGCGGGGCGGTTGGATCTCCCGGCGACGGAACCGTTATAACTGGTTTGATCATTTCAATATTTTGCCTAGTTCGTTGTTCGATTTCTTTTTATTGAGTTGTCATGGAAGGAAGAGAATCTTTAAAGGAGCTTGTCAAAAAGCGTAGCATAGTCAAAGGTAGATTAACAAAATTCAAAGACTATGTGAATGTTTTAACCCAGATAGGCGCGAAAAAGATAACTAGCATTCAAGTCAAAGAAATATCTTTGCGGGTAGATAAGTTTCAAGAATTGCTGTCGGATTTTAACATCATACAATCAGATATTGAATTACTCTCTTCAAATGACGATGAACAGTTAAATGAGCGGGATTCTATTGAGTCGCAATTCTTTTCCCTTCTTTCCACGGCTAAGGAATTGATTGAATGTGCGAATTCTGAGAAGAGATCATTACATGATGAAAGTATGTCCAATCAATATTCACATTCCATGAATTCCATAAAGTTACCTACTATAAATTTGCCAAAGTTTGACGGGAACTATTTAAAGTGGCTTGAGTTCAGGGACACTTTTGATTCCCTCGTTAATAAAAACGATTCTATTCCATTAATTAATAAATATCACTATCTTAGATCAAGCTTAGAGAATAGTGCCGCGGTCGTTATAAGATCAATTGAGTTTACCGCTGACAATTACGAGAAGGCATGGCAAATTTTATGTAACCGTTATAATAGTAAGAATATCTTAATAAATAACCACATTAAGTCGTTGCTAAGTATTGAGCCAATTGTGAAGGAATCATTTAAAGCGTTGCGATATTTAATTGATCACTTATCTAAAAACTTGAGTTCTTTGCACACTCTTGGGCTTCCTACTGATCAGTGGGATGTCTTGTTGATATTCATAGTTTCAGCAAAGTTGGACTCCACCACTGGTATAAAATGGGAAGAATATAAGAATAGTCTATCGGATTTACCAACGTTAGATCAATTTTATTCATTCTTACGTAACCGGGCAGACATCTTGGAAACAACGCATTATAATAGATCCGATAAACAGGAACATAACAATATTATGCATTCTCAAAATAAAAGACAGGTGAAATCTTTTTTGTCTGCCTCGGATTCAACGGGGAAATATCAATGTGTTGTTTGTAGCCATAATCATTTTGTGTATGAATGTCCGAAGTTCAAACAAATGAACTATGATGATAGAATGGGCGAAGTAAAAAGGTTGAAATTGTGCACTAAGTGCTTACGTAGTGGGCATAATAGTTATCAGTGTCGTTTGAAGGGTTCTTGCAAAATATGTAAAGATAAACACAATACTTTGATTCATAAAGATAACTTGAATACTTCTTCGCTACAAAATGCAAATAGTCAACAGAATGAACCGGTTGCGTTATCAGCTACGACGATGACTCATACGTTATTGTGTACGGCGCAGGTAGAAATCCTTAATGAGTCGAACAATAAAAAGGTTAAGGCGCGAGCATTATTGGACACTGGTAGTCAATCATCATTTTTAACCGAAGCTATGCGAGAGAAATTAGGGTTCAATAAGAATTATAGTGAAATCTTAAAGGTTTGCGGTCTAAATAATATCAAATCTAACATTTTAGGAAAGTGTATCGTGACGATTAAATCTTGTTCATCTACGTTTAGCACCCCAGTCTCTTGTTTGTTAGTGCCGACGATAACAGGTATTTTACCCAGCGTTGAAATAGACGTTTGCGAGTTAAATATTCCGTGCGGTATACAACTAGCGGATCCAAGGTTCTTCCAGCCTTCCACTATAGATATACTTTTGGGGGCTGACGTTTTTTGGAACATTATTGGGACAAATCAAATTAAGTTAGGGTCAAATAAACCTACTTTACAAGAATCACAATTAGGGTGGTTAATAGCCGGCCCACTCGGTAACAGTCAATCCAAGTCTGAGGTCTATTGTTATTTCAATCAGTTTTCGAATATTGATAATTCCCTGAAGAAGTTTTGGGAGATTGAAGAACTACCTGCAAAGACAAAAACATACTCATTAGAGGAGCAGTTTTGTGAAATTGAGTTTATAGAAAACACAACTCGCTTATCCGATGGTCGGTTTTGTGTACGTATGCCCTTAAAGGAACCTGAAACTAGTCTTGGTGATTCATACTACATGGCAAAGAAACGTTTCTTAAATTTAGAATTAAAATTAAATAAAAATCCGAAACTTAAGGAGTCATACACTAGATTCATAGAAGAATATAAAGAATTAGGTCACTTAAGTGAGGTAGATCGCCCAAGATTTGGCAATTACCTTCCACATCACTGTGTACTTCGCGAGAACAGTGAAACGACGAAATTGAGAGTAGTGTTTGATGCCTCAGCTAAAACATCATCTGGCAAGTCATTAAATGACATACAGGCGGTAGGCCCAGTAGTGCAGTCCGATTTATTCTCTATTTTGTTACGATTTCGCGGGCACAGGTTTGTTCTCTTAGGAGATATTGAGAAAATGTACAGACAAACTGCCTTGCATGAATCTCAACGTCACCTTCAGTTAATTTTGTGGAGGGATTCATCCGTTAGTACGGAACCAAATAATAATGGAAATTTAAAGGTTCTACAATTAAACACAGTAACGTATGGGATGGCCAGCGCTCCGTTTTTGAGCACCAGATGTCTATTACAATTGGCTAAGGAGTGTAATGATGACGTTATTGCGAGAATAATAAAAAATGATTTTTACATTGACGACTTAAATACGGGTGCGAATAGTGAAAGTGAATTACAGAATATATATGTGAATGTTAAAAAAAATTTAGATTCAGCATGTTTTCCCTTAAGAAAAATTCGTACTAACTGTTTGCAAGCACTTGATTGTGATGATAGTGTATTCGACCCGGTAAATTTGACTAAAGAATCCAGCGTGCTGGGTTTAAATTATTCTCCAAAACTCGACATCATTCAATTTCCCGCGAAGGTGGAATCGCCACCGCAAATTGTTACAAAAAAGGTCGTAATAGCTACTATTTCTAAAATATTTGATCCGTTGGGATTAATTTGTGCATGCATTATTAAAACTAAAATATTTTTACAACAATTATGGGTCATAAAATTAAATTGGGACGACCCCATACCACAAATTCTATTGGATACGTGGTTAAAATTTATTTCTAATTTACATTACATTTCTAATATTAAAATTAATAGATATGTTCTTTGCGATAACCCCGTGTCAATAGAATTGCATTGTTTTGTTGATGCGTCACAGAAAGCATATGCCTCATGTGTATATTTACGGTCAACAAATGAAAAAAATGAGGTCACTGTTAGACTTTTGTGCGCAAAGGCACGTGTTGCACCCTTAAAACCTATTACTATACCGAAATTGGAATTACTTGGTACTTTGCTGGGAGCTAGATTATGTGATAAAATTATACAGTCATTACGATTTAATATAACTAACAAAACTATTTGGACAGATTCGACAGTTGTCTTAGGTTGGCTAAGAACTGATGTAAGAAATCTTAAAATGTTTGTCTGCAATAGGGTTAATGAAATTAACGAGCTAACAAGTGGTTTCGAACACAGACATGTACCTACGAATATGAACCCAGCTGACTTGGCCTCAAGAGGAGTTGAACACCAGGACCTTTTATCTTCTTCATTGTGGTGGGAAGGTCCTTCTTTCCTACAGAAGGAGCGTTCAGAGTGGCCACAGAATTCTTTCGTAGTTCAAAACTTACCTGAGTTAAAGGTACATTCTTTGATAGCTGCATTGGACAATTCTGATGACGGTAGTTTATTTATAGAATTTAAAAGGTACTCGAGTTTCAATAAAATAAGTAGAATATTTGCCTATGTGTTACGTTTTGTTAACAATTGCAATAAAAACAAACATAAATATTCAGGCCCTATAAGTTCAGACGAAATAAATAATTCAGTGGTATTACTAATAAAAAAATGTCAAGTACAATCGTTTCCTTTTGAAATTGGGTTACTCAGGCAAGGAAAACAATTACCACAAAAGAGTAAATTACTACAGTTGACTCCATTTGTGGATTCACACGATATAGTTCGAGTGGGTGGTCGTTTGGGAAACTCAACTTATAATTTCGATAAGAAGCACCCTATACTATTACATTCAAAACATCATTTTACCAAGCTATTAATGATTAATGAACATATACGTTTGTTCCACGCAGGTCAACAGCTGCTGTTAGCGTCAGTGCGTGATAAATACTGGCCTATTGGTGGAAGATGTTTAGCGCGGCAAGTAGTTAGACAATGTATTATTTGCGTTCGTCTAAGAGCGGATACGATGCAGCCAATAATGGGTCATTTACCTGAGGCGCGTACAAATGCTTGTTTTCCTTTCTACTCGTGTGGAGTTGACTTTGCTGGACCTTTCATGATTAGTAACCGGAAAGGTCGTGGTAATCGTATCACTAAATGTTACTTATGTTTATTTGTTTGCCTCAGTACAAAGGCAATACATTTAGAGCTGGTGAGTGAATTGAGTACTCAAGCTTTTATTTTATGCCTAAGACGGTTCATATCACGTAGAGGAAAATGTCATGAGATTTTTTGCGACAACGGCAGGAATTTTGTGGGTGCGAACAATGAACTGGGTAGGTTGCTTAGATCCAGCCGTCAGTCTGTTAGTGATTATGCTACTTCTGAAGGAATCAAATTTGTATTTAGCCCCGCATATTCTCCCCACTTTGGTGGTATATTTGAAGCTGGAATTAAATCAGCAAAATTTCACTTAAAACGTGTAGCTGGAAATGCTGCTTTGACGTTTGAGGAGCTAGCAACGCTATTTGCGCAAATCGAAGCTATCCTTAACTCACGTCCGCTGACTCCTCTCTCGTCCAATGTTACTGATCCTTCTCCTCTGACCCCAGGCCACTTCTTAATTGGGAGACCACTTACGTCTATTCCGACGAAGCCCATCACTGCTACTAGACCAAACAGATACGAGCTTATTGAGAAAATAAGGCAGCACTTCTGGGAGCGGTGGCGCCTTGAGTACATCTCCGAGTTGCAGCAACGCACCAAATGGCGCACCGGGCAACAAGGCCTCGCCTGCGGGGACGTGGTGGTACTGAAGGAGGACAACTTACCGCCATTACAATGGCGGATGGGGCGTGTGTGTCGCCTCTACCCAGGGGCCGATGGCGTTAGTAGGGTGGCTGACGTCACTACTTCGAGGGGCATTATACGAAGGGCTATCAATAAACTATGTCTTCTGCCCACTTCAGAATCGAAAGATGACAACGAACCAGAGGGAGGCGTCCCGAGGCTCCAGACCTCGTCTACTTCTTGAAAGCTAATGCTTTCAACGCGCCGGAGGATGTTCACGCATCTAACGTGTGGACCACAGCGGCGGGAGACGCGGCGGGCGGGGGACGCACACAGCTGATCGGGCGCACCGCCGCCGCGCCCCGATCGGCTCGCCGACAGATTTGGTCAGCGACAGACGTGTCGTGCTCTAAGAAATTACTCATATATTTAATCGATCTGTATTAAAGTAATTATTTATCTAAAGCGAGTCGTTCATTATTAAAATCCTGAACACTTATGATTTATTTTCTTTTTTTATGCGCCGCACTAGGATTTTCTCCTGTATCGTGGGTCCGTTGACAAACATACAAGTGCACATACACATGACATCCAGACCCAGAACAACAATCTGTGGATCTCACAAAGAGTTGTCCTGTGCGGGAATCGAAGCCGCGACACGTTGCGGGGCAGCCAGTTGGCCAGCCACCGCGCCAACCGTGCTACGTGGCATTTGCTGATACAGAGGCCTTAGTACCAGTTTGTTTTACGTTAAAAGTAATCGAACCGAGACTGCATTCGGCGGGCTGATTGGTTGGTTCATTGGAGCCGGCCAATCAGAGCGCTGAACGCTTACTCGTTTCGATTACTTTAATGTAAAAAAAAGTCGTACTAAGTTAGCTTATATACTCGTACAAAAGTAGAATTAAAATGTACCGAGTAGATAGATATTTTTGAACTCGTGTAATGTAAGTGACACATCACTGGCGTTTGATACGTAAATTGATTATCCTCAACTTCCTACGCTAGCTCCTAATAAGTTTATCAATTATAATTTCTGAACACTGAGTTTCATTCTCTGATTACGTATCCCTCCAGTACATAGGCAGATGGAAATAGACATACTCTTTGCTTATGTGGGAGTACTTTATTATATAACTTGCTTAGTTAAGTTGTCTTAATCTTTTATGTAATCAAAACGCCTGATAATTTCAGTAGAGATAGACTGGGTACTGTATTTTACAGTAGTACAGTACATATATATTTTGCTAGTAATATGTCTGGTCTTGTTGTTATAGGGAATGAGCCTATGACCAAACATCACGATGCCATTATAGGACTTTGTCCTTATCAAGATCACGTAATCATATGTTGCGATTAGGAAATATACTTTTTCGTGTGAATAAAACGCCTTTTTCCAACAGTTATAGGTATATGTTTTGTGTTTAATGTATATCGTTATTAAGTTTTCAGAAGACTAAAAGAAAATAATGTTGAAGCAACTAAAAACTGGAGCAGTAAATAAATGAAGAGTGTAAACATTTACCTTGGCATTAGTAAAATAAATAACAATTTTCTCTTCAGATTTCGTTTGTTTATAAAAATCAATAACAAAATGTCATGATTTGAAGGTTATGGAGATCGATTCTTGAGACAGACGCTAGCTGGTCAATCTACTCGAATTTCTTATCTTTTTCTAATTTGTTTTCGAAGAAATAACGGTTTCTAACAACAGTTTCTAAAATTAGAACATATTATCAAAGTTATTCTGAAATAACAAATTATATCTAGGCCTTAGCAGACTATAAGAAACCAATTTATAAATGAGCTAAGGTTAATGTTCTTAAGAGACCTACAACGGTCCTTGTCCTCTTTTGGTCGGAAGAAGCCTACAAAATGTGTCTATATTATAGAGAAATAGATTTTTTGTAGGTATGCGAGTTCCTTACTAAACCGAAATTAGTTTAAGGCTCAATGAACTTTACTTTCTTCCTTATTTCTTGAATATTATAATATCAATTATAGGTGTACCTATGTATACAGGATAGCAAAAGTTAGGCAAGAAAAATAAAGTGATGAGTTTATGAATACTAATTGAAATCATGGTACGAAAGAAAAATATAATGTAGTTGACGGTGGAGTATGAAGATTAAGAGGGAGGGTCGAGGTCAAAACCAAAGAGAATATAATAAAAATATTGAAACAACAAAACTAAAAAAATGTAAGTTTGTTATTGATGAGTCTATTAATAAAAGCTCACGAGTACAAACTGAGCCATTACTTCGCATTGTTTAAATATACAACCAAACGTTTTTTCAGTTTATAGGTACTGTATTTAAATTAAACTACCCGTATAAAATGTAGTCGCGACGGCGAACAATCAATTTTGTTTTGTCGTACAAAAATAATAGTCGGTTCGACGCAGCCTTTTCCCCCGTGACATCTATCGAGGCCGCATCGTGTGTCACAATGCCGATAGACATCAGTTCCTGTCGCTACGTAATACTAAAGTGATTTTTATTACATTCGATTCGGTTGCTTTGTTCATATTCCAAGCCCTTGTGTGACAATAAGTCTTGAAAGAGCATCAGTGTGGAAAATAGTATCAGATATTCGTACATTTCTTTAGAAAATTGGATATATGACACAGTTATTAGGTTGCGAAATTATTCTCTAATGCCATTCGGGTATGTAATACGATGTGTTACTCTGTCTCATTCGTGGTGTCAGCGATTTAATGTTCTTATATTTTGTTGTATGTAGCTTTTCTATCTTGGATATTTGGAATTGGAAATAATATTCCACGAAATTGATTTTATTTATGAAATGTAACGTCTTAGCTACGAAGTTATTTGTCACAGCTTAAATTGTTTTAAGGAAAATAATAAAGATTTTTTCAATTTAGAGATAGCTAAAGTCACGGAGATTGTACATGCCTGGAGGCAGGCAATATACTCGCACCCCATAACATGGGACTAATAAATAACAGACTAAAGGAGACTTTATTGACACCTCTGCCTGTTTCTTGGGGACTTTAATTTAAAGGGTGTCGTTCATCCTGTAGAAGGTTTCTCTTCTCAAAAAACGATGGTCTCAGGTCAAAATAAAAGAACATGTCCAACAATTTGCAGCTGTGGTTGCACGTGTGACATGTAGTTACAGGAGGCTTGCAAACAATTGTGTCGGCAGTTTAATAAGGTTTCTCTAGACGGTAGGTGCATCAAAATGACCATACGGTGCAGAGGCACGCGACCGCATTGTCTGACACCTTGCGCACGGCTTCAGCCTGTCATTACCGTGGCAGCCGGTACCAGATACACAACATGCACATTGCCTACTGGCTGCAATATCACTGTACTTACATACTAGATACGTTTAATACGATAAATTAAAGTGTCTATTATCCCTATCAAAAACAGTATGAGTCACCAAGTTGCGTATCTGCCTCAAACATTTAAATTTCGTTAATTATATTTTAAACGGATCTGCAACTTCAAAGCTCTGCCACAGAAATGCTCATTCAAATCTATGGTGAGACAAGTAATGTCTGGGGTATAGTTTGAATGGAGGTATGTCTGAAAGTGGCAGCTGAACATAAAGGAATGGAGAACGGTGTACCTCGAGATAGGCACTCTGTGCAGGCTTGTAATTTTAGATATCGAGACTCCCCCGTCACCCGCCGAATCCCCCGGCTCATCCCAACTCCGCTGCGGATTAGAATGAAAATACAACGCTTTATTATCTTTCCTTTGACCGTATGTCTTACCTTCAACGTTCTACTGTTTCCCTTCTCCTGACGGCCAAAGGTGAGTGAATTGTTGATATATTTTTTTGTAATCTCTTCTTTCTTTGTATTCAATTATCTTTGTTCCCGAGATCTACCTGAAATGTAAATTTGAATTTCATCCACCCTGAACGTTGAAAGATTTTATTTAACTTAACACCCGAAAAGTATGCGTTTTATAGGGATCCTCGAACGCGGTGGATTTTTATTAGAGACACGTTTTTACCGACAGTAGATCGTGCTACAGGCGACATTTATCTTCCGGGCGGAGCGGCGGCGGGGGTGTCTTTGTAAAACGTTTGCGGATGAAAGATTTTCCTCCTTTTATTATTTCACATGTAATTTATGACACTTCTAAGGTGCGCGATTTCTTAGAATAAAGAGACTTTTGACTCATAAACGAACAATTTTATTGGCGACGTTACTTTTTCAACATTTCAAATCGCACAAAAGTCTTTTTACATCGCGAAACGAAAGTGGCAACCGAATTTTATTCTACGTTATAAGTAGAGAACATCTCTGCGATTTAATGCAAGCGGAGTGCGGAGATCAAAGGGCCTTATGCATTATATTAAAGTTTTATTCGACGCCGCCGGTGTGCGGCCGCCGGGCCCGGCAATTTCCTTTTCAATTACGCCTACTTGAAATAAAAATACAATTTTTATTTGGGCCCTGGTAATTAAAAAGGGATTCTGTAATGAAAAGGTATACCTCCAGTTCCGGGCGCTCCTCTCAATTTCACTTCCGTTTGTTTGTTCCACGGGGACCACGCCTTTGGGGGCTAAGCAAAGGGTTGTGTTGGCGCGGTGGCGGCGTGCGGGGTGTGTCCTCAAACATCGCCTAAATCACAAACACATTAAGGGAATGTCTCTAATGACACTCGCTTTCTGACCACGTGCACTTAACTTCAGAAGCCGCTTCTAGTTTTAAACAATGAGTGACGACAAAGACGGGGTCGTATCAGACGGATGTGCGCCTGATTGCAACCACGATGTCGACAGGATCCTACTTCCTGTGTCTCGGATACTAAACAATCCCTACATTGCTAGTTGCTACCTATGTATGTATATGTAGACAAGATGTTTGTCGACACTATTTCCGTATCTGTGAAGAGCACTTGTATCGGAAACCTATTTTCTATATTCTGTCAATATACTTTGAATACTACAAGGCATAAACAAAAATTAATAAAAAAAACACGTGTAATTACTGAAGACACTATATTATTTAATCATCGATTTGACGGAAAAACAAACGATAGGTACAGTTACTACCATAAATTGCTGAAAATCTTCTTAACGACGACTATTTGATTCTATCACGTATGTAATAAATTGAAGAAGTAAGTTGTTCTTCCAAGAGACATTCCCTTCCTTACATTTATGTCAGCTTAGGAGTCAAGGAGCCGTTGAAATAAACTCATGAAACATAAATGCGGCAATGATATTTTCATGTGACTGCCAGGGAGATAGTTCACTACACTCTTTAATGTTAATGTAATGTTTATGTAGAGGGTAATAATATAGATATAACTCCGCCCCCAGTCGGCCAACGTGCACTTCACCCTCTCCGGAGGAGATTAGCCATCTGAGCGGATTAAGCAAAGGTAGACTCATATAATACAGTATTTAACTACTTTATACGGTAAAAATATTATACTCTCGTCCAGAGCGGCAACGTAGCTTCCAAATCCAAAGCTTTCGAAAATAAAGGAACTTATTCTGCA